TGTACATCATACTTTTGCAGCAATAATAATAATAACAAACTTTATAGCAACTTCGCTGAAGTGTGCTTGGAGGAAAACGAGTGCACTAGCAGAGAGGAATATGCCTTCTCATCCTCTCTCTCTTAGGGGTATCTTTCAGTATGTGACCTTTTATGGTTGCCAAATATTAGAGTGATTTTTATTTGCAAATATCTTTGCTTTGGCTTCAGTAATAATTGCTGGAGTAATACTGAAGCACGTAATATTTCAGTGATTGTTTTGCTCTCTCAGAGAAAATACTTCTTCCTTTTGGAGTAATAAAAATGTATGAATGAAACTGTTGGAATAAAAAGAAATGGATTAAATAATTTATCATTCATAGCAACATCGCTTGCAGTTGAAGTAGAACACAGCTGACTTTAAGAAGGTTAAAGTAGATGCCATACACTGTAAGAATTTTTTTTGGAATAACTGAAAATTTTCTGCTAAAACACAAGTTGACATTTCCTAAAACACCCTAAAACACAAAATAATGTATAATAATATGTAATTCAAAATAAATTCAAGCAGTGTTGCAATTCTTTAGCAGTGTTGTTATTGTTAACTGACTAAAACTAACTACTAAAGACTTCTACAAATTATTTTTGGTCATTTAAAAAATAAAGCTGATGTAATCTGATGATAAAATATTAGATGGAAAATGTACTAAAACTGATATAAAAATTAAAGATACCTTTTACTAAAATTCTTAAAACCTAAACTAAAATTAAAATAAAAACAGAAAATATAAAAGTTAAACTTAATTCAAAATATTAAATAGTAGATGATTAAAACTAAAATAACACTCAATTTCAGGGTATAAAAAGACAGTTATTTTTGATCATCTTCTGGATGTTAGATACTTACAGAATATGAACATTTGTGTAAAAGGCTAAAATGCATGCCAAAAAATGCAGATAGTGCATGCATCAGTGGTTGCAATCCATTCTTAGTGAAGTACATAAACATTAAAAATACTAAGTGAGGTACAGTACTTAAAATAACTGAATAACTGCAATGCATAGTGAAGTTTATTCCAGGATTGAGTTGAATCTTCGTGCATCAAAATGTCAAGCTCATCTAAGGTCATGCTGTACAATGCCAGCACTGAGCAGATCCACTTTGTCGACCCTCACTGTCCCTCTCCTCCCACAGGAATGCAGGGCCACATAATTAATTGCATTAATTCCGCACATAAATTCCAGTTATCAAGGGAGCGAGTCAGATATGAAGTGAGGGAGTGCGTCTATCTGTCCGGGTGGGCCGCAGCAGAGCAGGACACCCTCTCAACAATTCACACACAGACCAAACAAAAACAAACTGCATGATAGGCCATTTTTGTCATTGCATAAATGTTGGTCAAGCACAATATACTGCTACAAACATAAATGGATTATTTATCGTAGCTAGAGGTCAAAGGTCAGAAAAATTCAGTCTTGTTGAGATTCACAGTCTGGTTCCAGAAAATTCAGCTGAAGAGTGTAGATCTGTCAGTGCCCTTGAGAAAGAGCCACTTGTCCGCTTTATGCTCAGCGAACAGGGGAATTTTAATCGGGATCCTTTAGTCCAGGAACATATTTGTCACCTTCCCAAAAACAAATACAAACAACACGACTCCCTAGAGTAACAACGCAATAAACTTTCCTCCCATTTCAGGCACACCAAAGACCTCCGACTGCCTGTGGAACTTCATGTGGTGATAGGGAATAAATGGACTTCTGGGACGTCCCACTTTAGCATTTGCAGGGCCGTGGGACTGAACCAGGCCTGGCCTTTGTCGTGTAAAGTTTGGGGTCAGTAAGATTTGTAAGATTTGTAAGATAAGTCTCTTATGCTCACCAAGGCTACATTTATTTGATCAATAATACAGTAAAACCAGTAATATTGTTAAATGACTTGTTAATGACTTTTCTATTTTAATATATATAATAAAACATAATTTATTCCTGTGATGTAAAGTAGAATTTTCAGCATCATTACTCCGGTCTTCAGTGTCACATGATCCTTCAGAAATCATTCTAATATGTGACCTTGGACCACAAAACCAGTCTTAAGTGTCAATTTTTCGAAATTGAGATTTATACATCATCTGAAAGCTGAATAAAGTGTCAATCGAAATTGAGATTTATACATCATCTGAAAGCTGAATAAATACGCTTTCCATTGGTGTATGGTTTGTTAGGATTGGACAATATTTGGCCGAGATACAATTATTTGAAAATCTGGAATCTGAGGGTGCAAAAAAAATCTAAATACTGAGAAAATCGCCTTTAAAGTTGTCCAACTTAGGTTTTTAGCAATGCAGTTTTAATATATTTATGGTAGAAAATTTACAAAATATCTTCATGGAACATGATCTTTACTTAATATCCTAATGGTTTTTGGCATAAAAGAAAAATCTATAATTTTGACACATACAATGTATTTTTGGCTATTGCTACAAATATACCCCAGCGACTTAAGACTGGTTTTGTGGTCCAGGGTCACATATGCTGATTTGCTGCTCAAGAAACATTTATTATTATCAATATTGAAAACAGTATTTATTTTGTGAAAACCGTGATGCTTTTTTCCGGATATTTCGATGAGTAGAAAATTTTAAAGAACAGCATTCATTTGAAATAAACACATTTTACTGTCACTTTTGACCAATTTGCTAGATCCTTTCTGAATAAAAAAATAATAATAATAACTTAATGACCCCAAACTTTTGAACGGTAATGTAATTGTGTAAAATGTGCTGAACTTGGATCAGAACCCTCTGCCAAATCCAATCATGAACAGACAAAATGAAAAACTGTTGGCAGATACTGTGAGTGCAGAAGTGACGTTTTCTGGGCAAATAGATTTGGGAATAAGCTAGTTTTAATCAGGACGGCAGTGTAAAAGAGGAAAAACAAACCATTATTAATGCACTGGGTTGAAAACAAGTGTTTATGTAGCTCATCTGGTATTCATGGTGCTAGCAACCATAAAGGTCAAAGGTTTGATTCCCAGGAAACACACTGTATGTCACTTTGAATAAAAGTGTCAGCCAAATGAGTTGGAGAAAGACTGTAGAAGCACAACAGATGAAGTCCATGTGAACTTCAGAATAGGTTTGCATTAAAGGAATAGTTCACCTAAAAACTTGTTCTCCCTCAGGTCATCCTAGAATTAGATGCGTTTGTTTCTTCATCGAACTGATTTGAAGAAATGTAGCATTACATCACTTGCTCACCAGTGGATCCTCTGCAGTGAATGGGTGCCGTCAGAATGAGAGTCCAAACAGCTGATAAAAACATCACGTTTGTAAAAAAAAAAAAAAAGAAATCCAGAGAAGTGCACTGTTTACAAGCAAAAAAACATTTCTAAACAAATATGTTGTGAGATTTTGATGTGAGTGGATAATAGGGGATGGACTTTTTCACTGCAGGAAGCATTATTTTGGATTATGGATTTGTATTTTAGTTAAAAACGTGTTAATGATGGATTTTTCTTTCTTATAAACACACAACTTTTCACTTCTCAACTCATCAGTTGATGGACTGGAGTCATGTGGATTACTTGTGTATTATAGTGATGTTTTTATCAGCTGTTTGGACTCTCATTCTGACGGCACCCATTCACTGCAGAGGATCCATTGGTGAGCAAGTGATGTAATGCTGAATTTCTGCAAATCTGTTCTGATGAAGAAAAAAACTCATCTACATCTTGGATGGCCGGAAGGTTCAGCAAATTTTTATTTTGGGGTGAACAATGAAAAACCTGTTAAAAGCTAAGAACATTAAATCTAATTAAATTTCACAAAATTAATTAATAAATAAAAATGACACCTTAATGGTTAGTGTTTAAATTTTATTCTACGTATAAAAAAAGAGTGCAAATTCTGCACACTCTGCAACATTTAGTATAGATCCAAAACAGACCATCTGTACATGAACATACTACAAATAATCCACATTTTGGTCTTCTGGTGAGAGCTTTGTAAGACTATGATGAAACACCTGCCCTGCTGTGAACAGAACAGATTTACAAAAGAATAAATAATATTAATGAATAAACTCTTACTGCTTTGTGTTATAATGTAGCACCTTTACACTCTTAGAGGTATGAGGAATTAATTGAGACAGAAATGCATTCCCTTGCTTTATCCTGTGTGAATTTCCAGTGTTAAGAATCGCTTAAATAATAACAAATGATACTGAAAACAACTTATAGCAAAGGTACTTTGTGATTTTGACTGGTAATATATTAAAATACAAAGTTGTTCAAGCGTTCTCTGTGTTTGTCTGTTTTAGGTAAAAACATATAGTTTGAAATATGACATAAAACAACAACAACAACATGTTTTGATTGCATCATAGTGTGCTTTTCAAAAGATTTCTTTTTGATAATACTGGATCGGGGGGAAAACAACAATGATTATTTTTTCAATTATTTCATGAAATCCAAGCCTCCATTTTACAACATATGGCAACTGCTTTTTTGGGGTGATTCAAAATGATAGGTAAGATTGAGCACAGGAGCAGCTACCGGTTTGTCTCTTAAGGTGAGTGATCATAGGAAATCTTTTCAAGGTCTTTTCAAGCCACTCTCTTCCACATTTTGCCAGTTCTGTGCTGAACAGGTTATTTAACGCTGCATACTGACCCAGCGTCATGCTCTTACTTGGTTCCTCTGACATACGCTTCCTTTGTCCAGGGTTCAAAAGGTGTTTCATGCTTCTGATGTTCTGAACTTCTGGATTTACATGATTCCCAAGTCCCACTTCTGAACCTAGATAGTTGAATGTCCTTTCAAAGAGCCAACAGGAGCACAGGGACTCTTCAGCAGGAACCATCCTCCATGCAAACATCTTAACAGATTTGAAGAAATGTAGCACTGTATCACTTGCTTATCAGTGGATCCTCTGCAGTGAATGGGTGCCGGCAGAATGAGAGTCCAAACAGCTGACAAAAACATCACAATAATCCACAAGTAATCCACACGACTCCAGTCCATTAGTTAATATCTTTTGAGGAGAAAAGCTGTGTGTTTGAAAGAAACAAATACATCGTCAATGCATTTGAACATTAAACTCCCGTTTCCTCCAATGAAAAAGTGCATCCTTCTGGATTTACATGATTCCCAAGTCCCACTTCTGAACCTAGATAGTTGAATGTCCTTTCAAAGAGCCAACAGGAGCACAGGGACTCTTCAGCAGGAACCATCCTCCATGCAAACATCTTCTGTGTCAGAATTGTCTTTGTCCTCATGGCTTTGAGCAGAGAAAGAGATTAGGAAGAGGTGAGAATGGCCTGGTTTAAATGTGGTATTTCATTTTCATATCTGAGCAGCTTACCTGTGTATGTTTGATTTACATGAGCAGGGCTCTCATGGCAGATTTGCTGATGCGATTGCGCTGTTTTCTCCTCCTTTTCGGGGGGTGAGGAGGTGGTCTGGGGGGTTTGTGTGGAGGGAGATGTTGCACAGGAGGAGATGTAGTTCCTGTTTGCAACAACAACAACAACAAAATCAACTTTTAATCAAGCTATTCTGATCTTGCAGTGTTGTGCGGTATTGTTGTACTGTGTTGAATCCAATCACATTAGCCTTATTATTCTGCAAGTAATGAATTTGATATAATGCTGTCAATACTTCACTGCACAAGTTAATGTAGGCATATGCAAGTGTTACTTCCTCTTCCTGGTGTGTGGGTGTCGGGTAGTATTTATTCAAATTCAGCTGAGATATTCATAGACATTGGTTCACAGAATCAAGCTGAACATGGTCCAAATGCGCCCCAGTGTGCTTGTTCTTAAACATCACTTACATCAAGTGGGTAATTATGACAGATCTATCTGTCTGTCTGTTTGTATGTATGTATGTATGTCTGTAACGTACTAACAAAGATCCAGAACTATCTTGCAACACCTTAACACCCATGCATGGCAACAACTCACAATACTACATAGCAAAACCCTAAAAACTATCCAGAACAACCTAGCACCCACATAGCTACACCCTAGCAACCACCAACTACTTTAGTCTTAAAGGGGTGCTATTATGCTTTTTCACTTTTTCAACTTTAGTTAGTCTGTAATGTTGCTGTTTGAGCATAAAAAAGATCTGCAAAGTTACAAAGCTCAAAGTCCACTTCAAAAGGAGATATTTTATTTAACAGAAAGTTTTAATCTTCTTTGCATCTCACTGCAAACCGCAATCCTGTAAATTGTTTCTGTAGAACATCTGCAAAGTAAGAACTTTTAGTTTCTTGATTTGGGTTTATATAATTAATTTTTAGAAGAAAAAAAAAAATACAGCTAAAATATTTTGGAGTTGTGTAAATGACAATATAAAGTCAACTTGGGGCACTTTTGCTTTCCTTAAGGGGTGATTCACCAAAAACAAAACTTCTATCATTATTTACCCTCAAACCTGTATGAGTTTTTTTCTTCTGTTGAACACAAAAGAAGATATTTTGAAGAATGTAGGACAGCAAACAGTTGACGGTAGCCATAAACTTCCATTTTTCCATTCTGTGGAAGTCAGTGGTTACCAGCAACTGTATGGTAACCATTATTCTTCAAAATATCTTCTTTTGAAACTCATACTTTTGAAACTCATAAAGAAACTCGAAGGTGAAGATTTGAAACAACTTGAAGGTGAGTAAATGATGAGAGAATTTAAATTTTTGAGTGAACTAATGCAAGTTTTAAGCAAAGCCCACCGTGACACAGAGCTGAGACGTTCATTTAGAAGGCAGCTGACATTTAAGATGAAATTCTGCTCTGAAGATCATAATAAACTGCCAATCAAACTTACCTCACCAGCATTTTTTCGTTGTCTTTTTCTCAAAAACATAAGTCGACTTTTATTTTAACAACATTGTATTGTCCAGCTGACAATACATTCTACCAGACATTGATGATAAGTGAATGAATAGAAAAATCTCGTTTAAGTGTTTTATTTTACCTGTCCGTTGTGTGGTTGTATAAGTGTGTTGTTTGTGATGGAGCTGCTGTAGTTTCTCGTCCGGCTGTATATTTGTCTGTTGCACTTTGATGTGATGTTTGTGTTTTTCTTCATCCAGGATTTTGTGCATTAGCAGCAGCTCTTCCATTTCCTCCTCCTTAGCCTTTTTGTCCATTTGTCTCAGCTCTCGCTCCTCCTCCTTCACCTCTACATCCATAGTCTCACCTCTCACCTTCTGACCGCTCTCCTCTACAGACAGAAACACATCTCCCCGATTCTGATTGGCTGTTCCTGTGGCATTAAAGGCGAGTTGGTCTGTCTGATTGGTTGTTTGCAATTGTTCGTTTTCTTGCGTTAGATTTGACTGGTGCGTAAAAGTCTGATTGGTCAATTCTAATGTAGTCATTGTAAAATCAGATGTCTGATTGGTTATACTTTGGTTAGCATTACTCTGCGATTCGAATTGCGTAATGTTGCGCAATGACAAGTCAGTTTCTTCCTGCTCGGTGTGATTCGGCAGTGGAGCCGTCGTTGCTGTGTCATTTCTTTTGCCGTGTCTCCTTCCATCCCCATGGTGACGGTGATGACCTTTGCCCCCTCCGTACTGCGTCTCGTTCAGAGCCCAGCTGTCCCGGCTGAATCCTGGCTCAGAGAACCTCTCTTTGAGCAGGTCCTCTAGGCTTATCCTCTGGTTGTGTTTGAGTTCATCCCTGCGATGGAGCTCATCTTTGGGACGAGGTTTCCCAGAGCGTTCCCGCCCTTCTTGTTTGTGGCCGGATGATTTCCGGCGCTGAGCGGGCCGAGGAGCCGGCTGACAGCGGCACTCCACATGGTCGAGAACGGAGACGACAGCCTTATCGTAGAGTGGCCGCTTGTTCACATACTGTATCTTTATCACCTGAGGATGAAGAGGAAAGTGAAACTGGCCTGTTTGAATAGATTGTAAGTACACACTTGAAAAGCAGGTGTGTGTGTGTGTGTGTGTACCTGTAGGTATCGTGTGTGTGTAAGTACAGGCACACACCGCAGGCTCTTGGTGTTACAGCAGCCTGAGCACCTCTGCACCTCCACACACGGAGGCCACAACAGGAAATCTGCATTGCTACGGTCCAACATGGAGCGTGTGACCTCGATGACCTCGGTCCTGACCTTACAGATGGCTTGCTGAGCCGGCTGAGCGTCTGCAGACAAAGATACAGAAATACACACAGAGGCACATGAACTACAAGAAAAACATTCGACTAACTCGATTTGTATAGGTGTTTGCTCATGCAAAATGCTTCTCTGTTATTTTGCGGTTGACAAGGTGTTGCTAGGTAGTAGTTAATCATTTGGCTTCCCATAAAGCTCATAACTAAATAAAACTAGCTAGCTGACAATAACTAGGGGTATTGTAATAATGTAGTAATGACTTTTCTAAAAAAACAAATGTAATAATAATGTAATAACAATGTTTCTAAAACAAAACAAAATTATGAAAAACGCGTTTTCTTTTTAAATGTAAAAATATGGTTTACTTATTACTACACTACTATTCTTGAATGCTTTTATGTGATTAAGTTATTAAAATAATATCAAATGTCAATCAACCAATACATAAATAAATAAATAATTGCAACAAAAATCAAGTCTCTAGGGGAAAAAATGTACATTGTCAGTATAGAATAAAAGCCACAAACTATATTCTGGGTTCAGCTTCTGAATTTCTATCAATTCAATTTAATTGCTTTCTCTGAATAGCATCCCTCCTTTTCTCTCTCCTAGTTTATTCCTTCTTGTCTCTCCATCTTTCTCTCTCAGTCTTTCAAAACAGATGTACTGAAAAAGACTTATTCCAGAAAGTGCTTGTTCAGCATGCATCAACAATAACGAACTGTGCTTGTTTGAGTTCTTCAGATTCTCTTTTCCACGATGATTATTGTGTCTGGGAATAATGATGATCTGACTCAGCTCAGAAGGAGAGATATACAGATTTGCTGACTTTGGATGGTTGCTGTGATCAGCATTATTCGAAAGCTGAAGGCTATAAAACAATATAACAATTCAACAACAGAATTAAGCAGTTTAAAAAATAAATAGCTTTAAATATGTTTTAGAATGTGAGAAAATAACTAATGTTAAAGCTTAAATGTGTCATTTCTGTGCCATTATTCCATCAAGTAACCCCTTTTGATAAACTCACAGAGACAGTGTATACACTTTGGTTGGGAATGAGCCTACACATGGCTTATTTATAGTTCTGACACAGACAGAAAGGTGTTTTAACACTGAAAATGCATATATAACAAATAATGGCAAAATAAAAGAGAACAAAGTAAGTCAGACTAACCCAGAAGACTGCGTGGCAGACGGTTGCTGGTGTCATTGTCATGGTGACTGTCCAGCTCAACCTCTGGAGAAAAAAACGACAGCAACTTTGAACCATCAGGTAGTGAAATAGTGGTGAAAATGCATGCAATGCAGACCCTTGTAGGAAATAGCAACTTGTTTCTGGTTTCTAGGCACACATTGGTTAAGGTTTCTTTTATAGCCTTACAAGGAATTGCAAGGGCTTTTACAAAAGCTAAAGAACTTAGTTACTCTAGATAAGAGTTTCTGCTACTGTACATGCCTTAAATATAAATGAGGACAGCACACATAGATCAAGGTCAAAAAGTTGCTTTGTAAAAAGTATTAAAGAGGCTATCTATATTAAATATGGTACTGGACTGCTGTAGCCCAGAGTCTTAATTAACATATTTATTAAAGAGTAATATTTGCCTCCAGGAATGTCAGAAGCATTTTAAAACTAAAGAGAGCTGATTTACCTATAGATTCAGAGAACAGCAAAAACTGCAGGTCCTGGATAGAAGACACAGATCCACCCTTCACCAACTCAACCACAGCGGCCGGGAGAGGATCAGCCTAGAGAGAGGAAACACAATTTATTAGAAATATTCAGTACAATGAAATGCTGGTTCTGTTCAACAAAGGATCCTGAAAAAAGGTATCACGGTTTCTACAAAAATATGAAGCAGCACAACTGATTTCAACATTGATAATAATAAGAAATGTTACTTGAGCAGCAAATCATCATATTAGACTGATTTCTGAAGGATCATGTGACACTGAAGACTGATGCTGAAAATTTATGATTTAATTAGATATTAAAATATATTTAAATACAAAACAGTTATTTTAAATTGCAATAATATTTCTGTTTTTGATCAAAGAAATGCAGCCTTGGTGAACATAATGTACCATCAGTTGGTCAAGACTGCAAAAAATAAACCCAGGTAGAGTGATGTGGACACTGACACAAAGCATTATTTTTTATATAATGAACTAATAATGAACTAATAATTTTTGTTATCCTCCTTGACACATAAAAAAATGAACATGCAATATTGAATGCATAATTAATTAAAAAATATAAAGATAAAAAACTATACAAAAATGTATTTTAAAATAAAATAAAAATACAATAAAATATTTAAGATTTATATGCATTTCAATTTAATGCAATAATGGTCAATTGTACAGTTTAACACAACATTTGAGCACAGCATTCTGAATGGCCAATCAGAATCAAGAATTCCAAAGAGTGCATACATAAAATAACGTGAATGTGCTGTTGTGTGTTTGAGTGTGTGACAGTGAGACAGAGCTCTATGGATGCTGGTTTGTCTCAGGGTGTCAATGCAGGTCTTGGGGACACAATAGCCCTGTTCATGCAGCATGTCCAGACAGGGGCCACTGGCCCTCGTCTCCTCCGTCTCATCTGGCAGCATTTATGCAGGACACAGGAAAGAGGGCAGAGAGGAAGTGGGGGATGGAGAGATGGAGAAAAGGTGAGTTTGAGGAGGAGAAAGAGGGAGATGGATGAGGGAGGCTGCCGGAAGGATGGAGTATTTCAGTAATCGGCGTGATAAGGGAAATCAGTCACATTACTGGCTGGTGATTCAGATGGTTTTTGCATGGGCCGAACAAATGCAGGAATTCAAGTGTGCCAAAAGTTAACAAACATCCTAAATTTGCCACACCTCTTGCAGTATGCACTTATAATCGAACAGAAACAATAATTCATGGTGAATCACCGGTATGTCCTACACTCTTGGGAGCTTCCAGAAGCACAGCAGTCTTGTTTTGTCCAAATGCATAAATCTCATGAATCATCGGTTTTCCATCTAATTTTTCTCCGTCACATTCTCAAGCTCTCTATCATCCGGTTGTGCATGCATGGAAGAACTGCCAATACCACAGCAAGGTTTCAATTCAGATCTATAAGCACCAGGATGTTTATAGGCAGATAAATGTTGATGAAATATTATCCTGGTGATTTATTGATACTGAACACAGCACAGATGGATAGAATGAAAACATAAAACGTAATGTTGGGGTCTGTAAGATTTTGTATAATGTTTTTTTTTTTTTTGAAAGAGGAGCCTATATTAGGCTGCATTTATTTGATCAAAAATATAGAAACAACAGTAATATTGTAAAATAATATTAAAATTTAAAATAACTGTTTTCTATTTAATATATTTTAAAATGTAATTTATTCCTGTGATGCAAAGCTGAATTTTCAGCATCATTACTCCAGTCTTCAGTGGCACATGATCCTTCAGAAATCATTCTAATATTCTCAAGAAAAATGTCTTACTATTATTAATGTTGAAAACTGCTTAATATTTCTGTGGGATATTGTTTGTGGAGAAGAAACTTCTTGCTCAGCATTCATTTGAAACAAAATTTTTGTAACTATGTAAAAGTCTTTATTGTCAATTTTGATAAATTTGTTCTCAAACTTTTAAATGGTAGTGTATGCTTGAACATACACACACACACACACACACTCTCTCTCTCTCTCTCTAATTCACATGTATATGATTCATAAACATTTATAATACATCACATACACACACTAAATTGCTTTATGGCTACCCAATGTAAATATATAGCATCACACTTAGGCTATACAAAAAAAAAACAATACACAGACACCAGATGGCATACACAAAGACCACACACATAGGATAGAATAGAATAGAATAGAATAGAATAGAATAGAATAGAATCCGAGTAAAATTGTATTGCTCAGAGGTTGCTGTTTCAAAGCTCAGGAGATTTAATGGAGCTTCATGGATTTCTGATTTTGGTTTGCAGACTTTAATTTGGTTGTTTAGCAAATCTTAAGCACAGGTTGAGACATTATTGAGATCTCTTCAGAAAAGAATGACATATAAGCTTAAAGGGTCCTTTTCTCAAGAGATAAACATGATACACATTTAAGTAGAAAATGTGTTTTTCATTTGATCTGACACTTGCAGGTTGCCTCATCCAAACAAACCAATGGGAGGGCGGTGTATGTCTCGGCTGATCACCGGTGCTGAACCACACAACCCCTGAACCCTGCTCCTAATATCATCAGAGAGTGAAGGACAGGCCCAGAGCATTCTGGGATTGTGGAGGAGTGGTGGAATGCACAGCCCATGTTGGGGAGTAATGATACATAATTACACATCTGCTGACAATGCTCTCACACACATGCCCATATCATCTTCTAACACATGCAAATATGCACAACCATCAGTTTGTGTAGCTGCAAGAAATAATATTGCATGCTTGTATGGTTTTAATCTTTATCTGTAAATGAAAACATATAATCAAGTGAATTACTTGTCTATTTTTTACCTAGCGGGATTTTTCCATCCAAAATCACACATCATAAAGAGATGAAAAATGATGTTCTTACATGGGGAACTTCCAAAAAGCAGACCTTAAAGCTGAGAGGGATCATAATCACAGCTTTTAAATGAGTTTTGATCTTGCATTTCCCTTCGAACAAGGAATTACATTTTAAACATTATATTAAACACACCCTTCCATGCACTGGCGAAGGTGCATGTTTTCGAAATGTCTTCAGTTAGATACCAATTAAATCTCTTATGATATGTCTCCCTCTGTGACTTCTAGATGACTTTGGGGCGGTGGGGGTCACAGAAATGTCATATTTTGATTAAGTGCCTCATGCAGCACAACTGTGGTGGTCAAATAAAGGGCAAATGCATTAGAACCTGCAGATTTTGTGTGCTAAATGACAACAATCCATAGTGCACCAATCAGTTCCTGGAGTCCTTAAGCGTCAGTTCACCAATTCATTTAAAAGAATCACCCTTTATATGATTCCCGAGTGATTTATGATGTTGTGGGATGCCAGTGGTTATACTATTTCATGTGGCATTAACAATATTCAAAGAAGCTTTGAAGCACTGGGAAGAAAAATCCATGCCGCACACAAATACACGTGTCGTGCATATATGCTCACGAACTACTGACAAAGGAGCTGTTCACCCAAAATGAAAGAAAAATTGTCATTCCACACTTGTACTGTGCTGTTGTCTCTTCCATGGAACACAAAATGAAATGTTTTATAGAATGTTTATGCAGTTCTTTTCCATACAGAACATCTGTCAAACTACAAAAAACTTCATAAAATATTCTGTACGACTCTTGTGCAGTATTCTGAAGACATTCAGATTAAAATTGAAGTTATTTCCTAAAAATATTGCCCTTTGAGCTCTGAAATCTCATTTGGTTTTTGGTGAAATTTAAAATAGGCCTAAATCTGACACGTCAAGTCAGGTTTGTCGTCACTGGTAACGTCTTTTACTATTGGTCGCTGCATCAAAACATTTTGAATATGTGATATCAAGAATGAAAATAAAGAGCATGAAGACCAGTTTGAGACCAGTATGCAAAATGTCATTGATTATGACAGAACATAACTCGCCAAAAAGGTGAAATCTGAAAATGTGATGTAAGAGCTACCATAGGGGAAGATTTTGGCTTGTTTATGTTTTAACAAATCTGTCATATGGCTTCAGAAGAATTTACCACAGTATGGAACAATTTTTGGGGCTTGACAGATGAGGTCATATCAACGTTTATGGAGATCAAAAAAAATGTTTGGAAAAACATGTGGGTGAGTAGGCTAAATAAATGACAGATTAATTATATGGTAGGTAGCCTATATTATCCACTCTATAAAGCAATGGCAATTAAATAAATTCTTAATGAAATATAATTTTAGCCTATAAAAATGCAACAGGAACCAATTAACTCTCCAAGACAGAAAGTTGGGATTCGTTAACGCGTTTAGAGTCGCTCTTACCTCCGCACTGCCAAACCGCAGACACGCCGCCGCAAGTACCGCGAGAAGATGCGGGATCAGTGATCTCATCTTGCTGCCGTGCCGCTGCGGGGCTCCGCGGGACAGCGCGCATTTAGAGAGACGCGCGAGAGACGCTCCGCACTGGGCTCCGAGATCAAAAATATAGAAACAACAGTAATATTGTAAAATAATATTAAAATTTAAAATAACTGTTTTCTATTTAATATATTTTAAAATGTAATTTATTCCTGTGATGCAAAGCTGAATTTTCAGCATCATTACTCCAGTCTTCAGTGGCACATGATCCTTCAGAAATCATTCTAATATTCTCAAGAAAAATGTCTTACTATTATTAATGTTGAAAACTGCTTAATATTTCTGTGGGATATTGTTTGTGGAGAAGAAACTTCTTGCTCAGCATTCATTTGAAACAAAATTTTTGTAACTATGTAAAAGTCTTTATTGTCAATTTTGATAAATTTGTTCTCAAACTTTTAAATGGTAGTGTATGCTTGAACATACACACACACACACACACACTCTCTCTCTCTCTCTCTAATTCACATGTATATGATTCATAAACATTTATAATACATCACATACACACACTAAATTGCTTTATGGCTACCCAATGTAAATATATAGCATCACACTTAGGCTATACAAAAAAAAAACAATACACAGACACCAGATGGCATACACAAAGACCACACACATAGGATAGAATAGAATTGAATAGAATAGAATAGAATAGAATAGAATAGAATCCGAGTAAAATTGTATTGCTCAGAGGTTGCTGTTTCAAAGCTCAGGAGATTTAATGGAGCTTCATGGATTTCTGATTTTGGTTTGCAGACTTTAATTTGGTTGTTTAGCAAATCTTAAGCACAGGTTGAGACATTATTGAGATCTCTTCAGAAAAGAATGACATATAAGCTTAAAGGGTCCTTTTCTCAAGAGATAAACATGATACACATTTAAGTAGAAAATGTGTTTTTCATTTGATCTGACACTTGCAGGTTGCCTCATCCAAACAAACCAATGGGAGGGCGGTGTATGTCTCGGCTGATCACCGGTGCTGAACCACACAACCCCTGAACCCTGCTCCTAATATCATCAGAGAGTGAAGGACAGGCCCAGAGCATTCTGGGATTGTGGAGGAGTGGTGGAATGCACAGCCCATGTTGGGGAGTAATGATACATAATTACACATCTGCTGACAATGCTCTCACACACATGCCCATATCATCTTCTAACACATGCAAATATGCACAACCATCAGTTTGTGTAGCTGCAAGAAATAATATTGCATGCTTGTATGGTTTTAATCTTTATCTGTAAATGAAAACATATAATCAAGTGAATTACTTGTCTATTTTTTACCTAGCGGGATTTTTCCATCCAAAATCACACATCATAAAGAGATGAAAAATGATGTTCTTACATGGGGAACTTCCAAAAAGCAGACCTTAAAGCTGAGAGGGATCATAATCACAGCTTTTAAATGAGTTTTGATCTTGCATTTCCCTTCGAACAAGGAATTACATTTTAAACATTATATTAAACACACCCTTCCATGCACTGGCGAAGGTGCATGTTTTCGAAATGTCTTCAGTTAGATACCAATTAAATCTCTTACGATATGTCTCCCTCTGTGACTTCTAGATGACTTTGGGGCGGTGGGGGTCACAGAAATGTCATATTTTGATTAAGTGCCTCATGCAGCACAACTGTGGTGGTCAAATAAAGGGCAAATGCAGATTTTGTGTGCTAAATGACAACAATCCATAGTGCACCAATCAGTTCCTGGAGTCCTTAAGCGTCAGTTCACCAATTCATTTAAAAGAATCACCCTTTATATGATTCCCGAGTGATTTATGATGTTGTGGGATGCCAGTGGTTATACTATTTAATGTGGCATTAACAATATTCAAAGAAGCTTTGAAGAAAAATCCATGCCGCACACAAATACACGTGTCGTGCATATATGCTCACGAACTACTGACAAAGGAGCTGTTCACCCAAAATGAAAGAAAAATTGTCATTCCACACTTGTACTGTGCTGTTGTCTCTTCCATGGAACACAAAATGAAATGTTTTATAGAATGTTTATGCAGTTCTTTTCCATACAGAACATCTGTCAAACTACAAAAAACTTCATAAAATATTCTGTACGACTCTTGTGCAGTATTCTGAAGACATTCAGATTAAAATTGAAGTTATTTCCTAAAAATATTGCCCTTTGAGCTCTGAAATCTCATTTGGTTTTTGGTGAAATTTAAAATAGGCCTAAATCTGACACGTCAAGTCAGGTTTGTCGTCACTGGTAACGTCTTTTACTATTGGTCGCTGCATCAAAACATTTTGAATATGTGATATCAAGAATGAAAATAAAGAGCATGAAGACCAGTTTGAGACCAGTATGCAAAATGTCATTGATTATGACAGAACATAACTCGCCAAAAAGGTGAAATCTGAAAATGTGATGTAAGAGCTACCATAGGGGAAGATTTTGGCTTGTTTATGTTTTAACAAATCTGTCATATGGCTTCAGAAGAATTTACCACAGTATGGAACAATTTTTGGGGCTTGACAGATGAGGTCATATCAACGTTTATGGAGATCAAAAAAAATGTTTGGAAAAACATGTGGGTGAGTAGGCTAAATAAATGACAGATTAATTATATGGTAGGTAGCCTATATTATCCACTCTATAAAGCAATGGCAATTAAATAAATTCTTAATGAAATATAATTTTAGCCTATAAAAATGCAACAGGAACCAATTAACTCTCCAAGACAGAAAGTTGGGATTCGTTAACGCGTTTAGAGTCGCTCTTACCTCCGCACTGCCAAACCGCAGACACGCCGCCGCAAGTACCGCGAGAAGATGCGGGATCAGTGATCTCATCTTGCTGCCGTGCCGCTGCGGGGCTCCGCGGGACAGCGCGCATTTAGAGAGACCCGCGAGAGACGCTCCGCACTGGGCTCCGACTCGCGAGCAAATATCGGGTTAATTAAGCAGCAGTCTGAGTCCCTCAGCGGCTCTGCAGACTCGACATTCCTCTCAGTGCGCAAACATTCAAATTGCCCTCCACGGCAGAATGAATCTCTCTTCTGAGGAGCAAGTGGTCCATTTGAAGTCCTTTGAAAGGCAGTTTGCGGATTCAAGCGAAGAGGTTTGTTTCCAGGCGAAGCACCAGAATCACGGATTCCTCAACTGGCGTTTAGTTAATCATTCATTTGCATGGTTCAGTCCAATAAAAACGTCTCTTATTAGGCTATTATCTGAGAGAACGGTAATCTAAAATACCTGTTCAGGCATGGCAATTTAAGAAAGTTATATAAAGATTACATAAAATGTCTTAAAAGTCAAACAGGACTTTATGGTATTTTAAAAAAAAAAAGTTATTTTAAAAAAGTAAAGTGATGCGCGTTCGGCCCCTTTGTTTTGGTAGGCTATAAACTCCTCACTTATTATTAACTCCACATCACCGTTGATAACCTATAAAAACTGTTATATAGTCTTTCCAATTGAAGATGGTCCATGTGTAGCACGCGAGGGTCCCTTCGTCTTCGCATTGTCCGTAATAAAAGCGGCATTAATGTAAGTTGCCTAAATGTAACTCTTGGTCTTGCAGTTTTCTTATCAGTGTCCAGCGCGTGCGCGGCCCCGCGCGAGCCGTCTGTGCGGTGTTGATTATGGGACTGTGGCTCTGAGGAGGATTTCAGAGGTCTGTATGTGGACTCTTATCTTACCCTCCCCTTAAAGGCAGGGCTGACCTCACTGAGAAAGAGAGGATGGGAGGTGGGTGAGGAGGTGCTGAAGTCATGTTGCTTCAGTGTGGATGCCTGCAGCACATTGCAATGGTAGAAACGTACATCTAGCATTGGAACAAAATTGAATATTGTTATGTTTTTTTTAATTAATTACACTGAACATATAATGTACAATGCAATATACTATAATTTACTCATCCTCATGTTTCTTTAGCTTTCTTCTGTGGAACATAGAATATCTAGGCTATGGCCTATATTTATTGCAAAATGTTCATGATGCTTTTTTTCTAAGAACTCAGCAATTCAATATGCACTATATTCCAAATAAATCTAAATTTTTAGTAAATTTTAATATGCATATTGCATTTGCATATTTAGAGTATATTCAAATATGCACTGCCTTTTGTCATCAATGGCAATTACTTCTTGCATGCCCGAATAAGCTTTAAAGGAATAGTTCACCCCAAAATGAAAACACTCTTTCTTCATGGGAACACATTTGGAGAAATTTAGCATTACAAGACATTAATTGATGAACTGGAGTGCTGTGGATAATTGTGATGTTTTTATCAGCTGTTTGGACTCTCATTCTGACGGCACCCATTCACCGCAGAGGATCCATTGGTGGGCAAGTGATACAATGTTACATTTCTTCAAATCTGCCCCAATGAAGAAACAAACTCATCTACATCTTGGATGGCCTGAGGGTGAATGCATTTTTTAACTATTCCTTTAACATTTTTAGACGCTACAATTTTGTAGAACGTTAAACACCTTTGTGCAATGCCTTTAAATATTAAAGTTCTCTTTTTAATTGACATGTTCTTTTCTAAATTTGCATCGCAAATGAGACAGTTCACATCTTTGTGAAAAAAAGGCCAAACCGTGCGTAAAGAATGAAAAGAAAATACATAATTTGAATAAGTTAATGTTTCATTAGCATAGAATGAATGGGATGGTGGCTGACATATTCTTTTCGGCCAGAGCTCTTTTTAATGTTTTCACAGCATTACACAAGGTAATGGAATAAAAAGGTGTGTCTAAATACCAACATTCTTCAAAGCTATTTTAAATCTTATGACCTTTCAGCTTTGCACAATGGATGTCCAAGTTATGAGGTCGGTAGACTAAAATGAAGGTGACAGGAATACTGCCTTACAAAGGCAAAAGACCTTAACTCGCTAGAGTGTGAAACTGAGAAAAATGACTTTAAAGTTTTTTACTTGTCCAGCCAAATTAATTATAGGTAGGACACTGGAAATTTAACAATTAGATGTTTTAGTAATGAAA